ATCTGTCTCTCGTCACCCAGTAGTGAGGAAAGCCGTAAAGCTTGTGCCTCTCCAGAAGGAAGCAATCACTGTACTGACTTTGATTGACAGGTATATATGACACATAGATACAGTATATGGCAAATGAGTGCATTAGGATTTTTCAAATAAATTCCAGTAACCCTAAAGCCTATTACATTTTCACTTGCTGTATGTTACACTTTGCTATGCATTTGATGTTTTTTTTTTGTCTGTCTGACATTATTTTATGAAAATATATTATGTGTATACTGTCAAGTTTTATAGTAACAGGTGATGTGAATGGCCACATCAAATTCTATGATGGAAATCTCAAGCTCATCAACGTGTACAATGAGTTTAGCTTGGATCCTATCAGATCCATCTCCTTTTCCAAAGAAAAGCCCTCCATTAGCGACCTGCGATATCCAAAAGACTGCACACTGGATGCCAAGCCATTTATCATAAGGTGGGGGACTCAGAAAGATTTCAGATTTATTATAATAAATGTGCCATACAAAATAATGCTTTAAAAATGTTACAATTTATGTGTATGTTAGCATTATATATATTAATTATTCTATTTATTTTTATTTTTTTACTTTTTTGAAATAAACTTTCCTTCACTGAATTAGCATTTATTACAAAGATTTCAAGTCCTCAGTTAAAAGCCAAAACTGCTAACAAGAGTGCTAACAAGATTGAATGCACCAATCCATGTAACAAAGTACATTTAGATTTATGCTTAAAGAGGGAAAAATTTTAATTCTGTTCAGCTTATCATTTATTGATAATAAATGTATATTGACTATTTATATTGACTTCCATTTATGTGGACAAAAATATTGAGGCATTCTCAATATATCGTCTTTTGTGTACCACAGACAAAGATAGTTTGTAAAGGTTTGGAACAACATGAGGATCAGTACATGATGTCAGGATTTTATATTTTTGGGGGGTGAACTGTCTCTTTAAAGTATGGTCATTTGTAAACTCTGCAATGCAATAAAATGTTTCTCTCCCTCCATTTACAGAAATTTTGTTCTCTCCACAACTCATGCAACTGCAGTACATGTAAACGCACAGATAAATGTTCCACAGACCCTTCTAAAGGAACATGTAGAACCTCTAGAAACAGTTGCCTGCCATCCTAAACAGCCACTAGTAGCTATGGGCAGCCACAGTGGCACCATTAAGGTTTGGGATTATGAGCATAAAAAAGCAGTCTGCAGCAGGGTCTTCCAGCCCCACAAACAGATCCAGTGTATTACCTACGATCCACAAGGTGAACTAGAAAACAAGACCTCACTCATATTAAAATACAGTTCATATATGTAAAAACATTTTACATGTCATGTTGTTTAATGGCACATTGTCTAATTTAAGAGTTGAAGACTGCTTGCATAAAATTTATACCACATATTAAACACATTTTTTACAATAGCAAATGTTTGTATGGATGATGTGATTATATATATA